AGAGTGAACAGACAGAAGGCCGTCAAGGAGGCCTTCACGCATGCTTGGAAAGGGTACAAGCAGCATGCCTGGATGCGCGATGAACTTTCGCCCCTCAGTGCTCGTTACAGAACCACATTTGCTGGCTGGGCTGCCACTCTGGTGGACGCACTTGACACTCTTGTCATTATGGGTATGGAAGACGAGTTCAAGGATGCGTTGCATGCCATTGAGAGCATTGATTTTACTACCACCGATGCCACCCAGATCAATGTATTCGAGACTACTATCCGATATGTAGGAGGGTTACTTGGCGCCTACGACCTGACCGACGGAAAACACCCGATCCTTCTGAAGAAGGCTGTGGAACTGGCCGACATGATCTACGATGCTTTTGATACTAGCAATAGGATGCCCCAGTCTCGCTGGCAATGGAGCAGGTAAGCCGGCCATTGTTTCTGGAACCACTTAAAGCTGCTGTTAACTAGGCCATAGATCTGCGCGAGGCCTGAGCATTCAACCAAGCAGACAAACTATCCTCGCAGAATTGGGTTCATTGAATCTAGAATTCACCAGGCTGTCCCAGCTGACTCATGATCCCAAGTACTTTGATGCGGTCCAACGAATTACAGACGTTCTCGACGACGCTCAGAATAAGACCAAAATCCCTGGGCTGTGGCCTATGATGGTCAACGCTCAGGATTTAGAGTTCACAGACCCTCGCTTTACTGTGGGTGGAATGGCCGACTCAACATATGAGTATTTGCCGAAAGAGCATATGCTACTGGGAGCTCAGACGGATCAATACCGCAAGATGTATGCCGCCGCCATGGAGGCGATCAAGAAGCGCTTATTGTTTCGACCCATGACCAAAAACGGCGAGGATCTCCTCTTCGCCGGGAACACCCACACGAGTCTCGCAACTAACGCGCCCCCGGAGCCTCAATGGGAACATCTGAAATGCTTTTTTGGGGGCACTGTGGGCATCGGGGCCAAGGTTTTCAACCGCCCGGAGGAGCTCTCAATTGCACGAAAGCTAACAGATGGCTGTATCTGGGCATACGATGTCATGCCCACCGGAATCATGCCGGAAATCATGCATCTCAGCGCTTGCCAGAGTATGGATAGTTGTGAATGGGACGAGCAGAAGTGGTACCAAGATGTCCGGCGGCGACTGGCCAAGGGATCAAAGGAGAAAGACACTGTTCAAGAAGCCAAGACAATTATCCAGGAGAGTGGGCTTCAACCTGGCCTAACTGAGATATCGGATCCGAGATATTTGCTGCGGTATGTGATTTGCTGACAATTGATTTTCGTCTTGCATCGGGTGTAGTAGTGCTGATATTGGTTCTAGACCCGAGGCTATCGAGTCAGTTTTCATCATGTACCGCATCACTGGGGACAAGAAATTGCAGGACGATGCATGGAGAATGTTTCAGAGCATTGAGAAAGCAACTCGAACCAATCATGCCCATGCCGCGATAGACGACGTCCGGGACGTGAAGACAACCCAGTTAGATTACATGGAGAGTTTCTGGCTGGCAGAGACCTTGAAGTACTTCTATCTCGTCTTCTCCGAACCAGGGCTTGTCAGCTTGGATGATTACGTACTGTATGTGCTGTTGTCTTGTGAGGTTCTCGCCAAAGCTAACGATTAAGCAGGAACACGGAAGCACATCCATTCAAGCGTCCCTCTGCTCGTACATAGGTTTCTCAACCAAACCCTTTTCATCTCAATATGTCGAGGCTTGTGCTTTGGCATGGTTAGGTGGCGTCTGCTCAAGGGAAAGGAAATGGTCTAATCATTCTGTTTGCTGATTATAAGAGGCCCAACCTGGAGCATTCACTCCAGTATCCAGTTGGGCTTCCTAGACTATATAGAAGTCACTGGTGAATCAACATTACAGTATCATCCGGTCTTTACATATCGTACAGTGTCGTACTACAACTCATTCGTTACATAAGTATCCCAGTACTTTGCATCAGGGTTAACACCCGAGTCTGGTCTTTTCCGCTTATACTCGACCGAGTACTGCACATCCTTCCGGATGATCATCTTCGTGGTCCCATCACTCCCCGCACTGGTCAACCCCTTCCGCTCCACCAACTCAATCGGCGGCGATAAAGGTGCAATCGTTGAATCCTCGGTCGCGAGACCCCCAGTCGCCAAACACTTCTCAAGGTCCGTGGGGCGTCCATTCTTCGCCGCCCGACGCTCCCACAAGCGCGATCGCCACGTCCTCCTCTCCTCCCCGCCCAAGAGCCCGATCCTAGACTTGGACCCAGACCCGGAGCTATTGTCCTTGGGCGTCCGCGATGAAGACCCAAAGCTGCTTTTCAGGTTCGAGTCGCCCGCCGTGCCGTAGTTTGTGCTCACGGCTGCCATGAACGGCCGCAGGCAGAACACACTGCATGCGATCAGGGCGTAGTTGAGCTCCACCTGCGACCAGATCTTGGATGTGACGACCGAGAGCGTCGGGTCTGGAGCATGGTAGTGGCCTTTTAGGGTGTAGATGTGGAAGATCGTGAACATGATGAGGCTGGTTCGGTTAGAATTAGAATTGTATGTACGAAAAAAAAAAAAAAAAAAAAAATGCTGGAGGCGTTGGGTTTAGGCTTACGGGAGGCGGAAGAGAAAGGCAGAGCCGATTTGGAGTTTGCGTTTCAGCGACATGAAGAGGCCTTGGAGGAGGGTGACTGCCAGGCCGAAGAGTATGAGTTCGGTGACGATGTCCATTGCCGTGATGAATTCCCATCGTTGGAGCTGGATGTGCGTTAGCGAAGGGTAGTGAGGATGTGCTTTCCGAAGAACATGGCTCACCAGGTTGCGGCATTGGCCTCCTGATGTCTTCCAGGGGCGGTTCATTTCACAGTTGACGGCGAGGATGAGTGCGCTTGGGATGATCCATAATGTGCATAGGATGAGAGTTGCCCAGGAGATTCGGTTGTGGGTTTTTTGAGGCGTCAGCCGGAGGTAGATGCCCACGACGCAGCATTTGGAGACGTAGATGGTGATTAGATAGAGGATGTCGCTTATTGTGACCAACTGTATGCTTGTGAGGGTTGAGTCTTGAGTCGCGTAACTTGCAGGCTCTCTTACTGTTTGGATTCTATTGATTTGCTCTTGCACCAGCAGGTCGATCGAGGTTCCGAATCCTTGAGAGACAGCCACGAAGATCAGTGTGGACTGCGCGATAGCAACAACCTGAATATGACAGAAATCATTAGCCTGTGGTTTGACTCTGGGAAGGCTTGTCCCAAAGCTTACCGTTGCCCCAAGAAGAACGTAATCATCATACGCAAAGGGAGGACTGAGAGCCAGCCGCACATACACCCTGATGAGAAGACAGACCAACGAAACGACCAGCCCGAAGGCGGCAGTTATAATTATCCAGGCGCCATGGTGCAGGTCATCCACCACCTGAAATGGTGGTGACTGTCCTGGAGGAACATACGGGCCCATGGCAGCATGGAAGCCGAGGGAGACGCTCAGCTGGAGATGGGAGGGGAATGTATGTACTGCAGAGCAAACCCTCACAGCGCTGGCAGAGGTCGAGTTTTATTCCTCTGCAACGAATTTGATTAGATGCAAGTCTGGTCAGAAGCATAGTCATTTCTATTTGGTAGCCATTTATTTAGCCAAGGGGAGTATCCATCAGGTATGTGATGTGCACTCGAAGACGGTGTCGTGGCTGGCAGTAGCAGCCTGGCAAGTTTCCTTTTGGGTCTCAAGACTGACTGGTGTCACAAACACCATTGTTTTCATGCAAACGGCACTGAAGGATGGGTGCAGGACTAGAAAAAAAGCAAAACTCGACCCCAGTTGCGTCAAGCATGAAGGTGTTGATACTGGGACAGGATCATCCATCCCAAAGCTGGAGGACTCGACCCGGAGAAGGAAGGGGGGGTTTTAACCATGTGGGAAAAAATGACTCAGTTTCGAAGCAGAACTGACGCGAGGGGCGAGACATTATTTTCGACTGCCACGGGGCAATTTGTGCTTGACAATGCGAATGACCACAGCGCTTAGACGATCAACCAAGCCTCATCTCACCGAGAGATTAAGCTCTACCGAGGGGCTTGCATTGCCAGGGTGGTCGGTGGTTGCAATCACGGTGTGCATTTTGAGCTGAGCCTACATGGTTTGATGAAGCCCAGTCACTCCATTACTGAGTTTGTTTCTGTTGCTGGAGTATCTATCTTACTGCGTGCTGCCGAATACTCTTGTCGTCCTTGAGTTCCGGAGCAAAAAGATGGCCCGGTTTGGACCAAGGGATCACCATGGCCCTGTGATCACTATTTGCGCGTTACACAAGGGCTACGTGGGGATGAACTCTTTGCCTGCATCTCTTTGATTTCTTAAGCTTCGGGTCGTACATTCCTCAGCTCTGTCATCCTGCGAATGGGATGGGTCGGACGTTGACCATTCCGCAAAAGAATGTATCTGGCACAAAGTACCACATTGCATTTCTGGTTCAAACTCTCGTGGGGAGAGGGATGACATCTGGCTTCGCTCCCATGTCTCGTTTGGCTTCATGGTTTGTGGTTGTTCTTTTTGATCCTTGGCGTTATGCAAGGTGCCTTCAAGAAAAAGCAAAGCGCGATAACAACTCAATTTGCAATCAAATTGATCGCCAGCGGGTCCGGGAAAGTGCACTATTGCTACCAATGTATACCTACCCTGGACTATGTCTGGTAGGGATGTGCGATTATGCAATGTTGCACTGGCAAGTCCCATCAATTTCGCCGCCTCTCCTCTCCTTCCCACATGGCTGGGTATCTTTTCTGCTCTCCTTGCTTTTGGCGTGATGACCATTGGTCGATCATTCTCGGCGAATACCTCCTGTAAAGCTTTCGCTTTCTTGTTTGAGGCAAACGCACCAGCATCGCTATTTCTCTTCACCAGAAAAGAGTGCTCTTTCCTCCGTCCCTGAGCTTGTATGCCGCCAACTTGATCTGCATGCTGAGCTTTTAGCATCAATATCTGACTGGCTTTCACTGCTCGCTCATCTGCAGTCCTCATGGCGCCTCAAGATACCCATCTCGGGGAAAGTAAAGCGGAATGTTGCGTACAGGATGATATCGCCCAAGAGGCCGGGTACCCTGTGAAGGGTCTTGTTGCGCCGAAGTATATGGGCACAGTTGCAGATCAACGAGACATGAGCGCGTTGGGGCGAGTGCAGGTCTTGAGGGTTAGTTGGCGAGGTCTGCTCATTCTGGAGACTCTCTAACGAACCTCCATCAGAGAAATTTCCGCTTCATCTCGATTCTTGGATTTGGCTGCACGCTGATTTCAACGTGGGAAGTCATATTGACGTCAGTTGTTCCCGTATTTCCCAGTGATCAAAGCAACTGACTCTGGAGTTGAAGGCTGTTGAGCTCCGCCCTGACTGACGGGGGCACTGCAGGGTTGATATGGGGCTTTCTCATTGTCACGGCAGGATTTGCCCTCGTTTTTGCCAGTATAGCGGAAATGGCTTCCATGTGAGAGTGTCTTTTCACCTTGGATTGAGCTCCTTTTGACGATTTTAGGGCTCCAACCTCTGGAGGTCAATACCATTGGGTTTCCGAGTTTGCTCCTCGAAGGGGCCAAAAGTTCTTGAGCTACATTACCGGTAGGCATCAAGAACTGGGCGTTGCGTGGGCGAAACTGACGTTGATAGGATGGCTCAGTGCAACCGGATGGCAGTGCGCTATCGTATCAATTGCTTTCCTCGCTGGCACGATCATACAAGGGCTGGTCGTTCTAAACGACCCGACCTATGAGTTTGAGCGGTGGCACGGCACATTGTTGGTGGTGGCAATAACAACATTTTCAATATTGTTTAACACGTTCCTAGCCAAAAACCTACCCATGGTGGAAGGACTCATCCTGATCATTCATGTGGTAGGGCTGTTTGCCATCATTATCCCCCTCTGGGTTCTTGCTCCTCGAAACAGTGCGAAAGCAGTGTTTACAGAGTTCAATAACGCTGGAGGATGGAATAGTGACGGGACTGCCACTCTGGTCGGTCTCTCTACCACTATTACAGCCATGATAGGCTATGACTGTTCGGTGCACATGTGTAAGTGTCGTGTTTTCTTCCTGTGCTCAAGAAGCGTTTTACTGAACCGATTCCAAGCCGAGGAGATCAAGGATGCTGCGGAGACGCTGCCGAAAGCAATGATGTCAGCTGTCGCGGTCAATGGAGTTTTGGGATTTGTCATGATTGTCACTCTTTGCTTCACCCTCGGCGATGTTGACAGCATCTTGAGTACTCCGACTGGTTTTCCGTTCATCCAGATCTTCTACAACACCACCAACAGCTACGCGGCAACGAACACAATGACAGCGGTCTTGGTGATCACGCTCACGGCCAGCACAATCACTGAGGTCGCGACGGCATCCCGGCAACTATGGTCTTTTGCTCGAGATCAAGGACTGCCATTTTCATCATTCTTCGCCTATGTGAGTCTCACGCCAGCAGGCTCCCCATGGCTCTGGCAGCGTTACTGATCGCTCAATGCAGGTCACTCCGGGATGGAATATCCCTCTCAACTCTGTCATGGTTTCTCTAGCAGTCACTATTCTTCTCTCCCTGATCAACATTGGCTCCCAGGTTGCCCTGTCGGCCATTGTATCACTGACAATCACCTCCTTGATATCCTCCTACATTCTTTCAATTGGCTGCGTGTTCCTGAAGCGTATCCGAGGCGAGCCCCTGCCACCTCGCCGATGGACCCTTGGCCGCTTCGGCATGGCCGTTAACATTGCCGCTTTGGCTTTCTTGATTCCCATCTTCGTCTTTTCCTTCTTCCCGTTGACGAAGACAGTAGACACGAGAACAATGAATTGGAGTGTGGTGATGTACCTTGCTATGCTTACTTTTGCATCCGTCTATTATGTGCTCTGGGGCCGGCATAACTTCATTGCTCCCGTGGCGCTGGTGAAGAGACAGGGCAGATACTGCGCTTGAGATTTTGATACAGAAACCTTGGTTGTTGGTTTGTATTTATCTTCTTGTTTTATAGATTACGTTTTGGTGCAATTTGCGTACATAGACATTGTCACGTTGTCGCGAATCTCATGATTGAGTGGCGCTCTCGAGTTCAAGTAACTCCTTGTTAAAACTTAAGACAAGAAGGCGAGTTGGATGCATTAAATTTCTGGGACGATCAAAAACGATGCCATTGATATGCTGCGGTATTTTAATACAATCTTTATACCAGTAGCTGCTATTCTTAGCTAACAAAAGGATAAATATTCTGTGAGAACCATCATGTAACGCCATTACGGCAGCTCCAGGAGCTGAGATTCACTCCCGAGCTGGCTCTTCTCCTAGCAGTACTATTGAGGTCACCTCGATTTTGGAAACATCATGGGGACTCCGGTCTGGACAGATCGTCATCCCGTTTCACTGATCCTTTCGTTGCGCAATTCATTTCTACGCAATAATGCAGTTGTGTCCTATTTTAACGCAGCTGGGAAAGATACCAAGACTGTAGTACCCACTAGTAGAGCAATAGAAGCCACCCTAAGCCAGACTACCGGGTAAATGACCCAGCCGTAAGATCTGATAACTAAGTAACAAGTCAGGGGAATATCGTTCGGATGAAATTCCTATTTGCCGATGAATTCGCTAGTGCCTGGGGCTGATAGGCATTTGCGTTATTGGCGACTGGTGAGCACTATTGGTGTTTACGAATCGGGTGATTGTTGTCTTAGGTTGTACAGTTTTGTCTTTCAGCTATGTCGTGAATTTCAGGGGTTTGGGGATGACATTGTTCGGTGCGATGTGCTTTACTTTGCCTGGGCGGTCGTGGATTTTCTTGATGGCCTCGTACAGACACGTAGATTATCTAGATAGCATGTGGCTGTGGCTGTGGACAGTCATTGGTTCCATGTTTATCAGATGGAATAAGAGGTAGACTAAAGGTGACTTCGTCCGAAAGGTACTTTGCTATCTGATTGATATGATCGAGTCCGACATCGGCATGGCCCCACTTTTGAGATTGACTGTCACATGAATAGGATTTCACAGAGTAATCCGTATTGTACGGAGCAGAGCAAATGACTATCTGATGCGACCCCTTGATAATAATGAACTCTGTCAGTAATATCAATCATCCTTATGTTCTTGGCAGGAAGGGATATCCAGGTCGGTTGGTAAAGGATCATGTATGTGTCCGGATCAGATAACCCACATACCTGCCGACCGGCCGCTTTCAGAGTCACCTCCATACATCAGGTGGACGGAGTCACACCCGCCCCCGTGCTGGCAATGAAAGTATAATCTGATCCTGGGCATCCAGCGATATTTACAACTCATACAAAAGGAGAGAGCCAGGGTGCCGTCTTAACCGAGGGCCGACATAATTCTGGCAGTCTAGACAAGGGCCAAGGGAAGATGGCGACCGGATCAGATTAGATCGGTAACGGTAAGGGGAACCGGCTGCCGTTGGTCGTACGGTTTACAGTCCGATACATCATATTTTACGAGGCACAACTTCTTTCAGAGTCTCGATGAGCTCTTATGACTTTATTCGCTGTGAAGATACGATACTAGAACTGCTGGCTAGATTGTTTCCGAAGCTGTCCATTCAGCTGCTGGCGATTAGCATCGTTGTCTGAGTTGGTCGTAGGTTAATGTAGAATGATCCGCTTAGCTGCAGGAGCGGATCTTAGTACAGTTAACTTTACAGGGTACATGGGGAGCTGGCGAGATCAGATAAAGGGTAGATGATATTGTTTGAAAACAATCAAATCGATGGCAGTCTAGTCCTACCCCTGAGGTACAGAAGTTCCATAAATAATAAGAAATTGCTCGATTGCGTCAGATACAGTCAACCTGCCTACTTACGGAGTACATGAGGAAGTAAAGTTACCGAGCGTTCCTACGTAAGAGCGAGTGGCAAAAGGTTTACAACAGGACCGGTAATCTGATCTTCTCGATTTCCCGGTCCTAACATTCTGCCCTTTACTCTATAATTATTTCATCGTTCTCTATCTGATCCTCCCCTTCGCATCTACTATGTGTATTCTTGAGAGTTGAGACATCGATTCTAAGTGCTGACATTAGAGGCTGCTGATTGATATCCCTATCTGATCCACCGGCTGTTACGCATCATTACCTAGCGCAGCGGAACCGCCATCCCGGCACCGGTTTTTTGCCCCAGGCAGGCCATTTTCGTTTCCGCCATCATCCCACCCATTATTCATTCCTTTTTTCTCCGCGGACCAGATCCTTCCAGCATCTCCCCATCTCGCTCGCCTTTCTCTTCTACTCCCCTGTCGAATCTGCATGTCCGCGGATCTGGCGGCGCCCTATCTGCTCTGTCCTGACAGACTTTGCAGCTCAATTGCTGGATTTCGTTGAGCTTCTCTCTTGTTGAAGTCAACCAGCCGCCGTTGTGTCTCGTCTCGCCGCTCGCCTCGCTTCTTCCCCTTCCTATTCCCTCATATCCTTCTACTCTTCTGTCCCTCGGCAATTGATTGCCGTATCTCCGTTTCGAAACTTCTCAGCCGACACAATGGGTACGTCCGCACTTTTACTCGCATTGACATTAGACATTGAGTCAAGGTCTGACCGTTCATTGACTATAGTGCACGCTGTTTTACCACCGACGCCGTCCTCGACAAAGGATTCGAGGTTCAGTCACTCTAGCAATGGAGACTACCGAACCATCCCAGTTTCTTCCACCTCCCACCCAGACAACCCAGTTCCGGAAGAACCTCGCATTCGGTCACTGTCGATCACTGACACGAGCTTCAATGGCTCGTCACCCGCTCAAGAAACCGAAGGCTCGATCGACTTAGATACTCCACCGACTCCTCTCACCCCGCTAGATGAAGAGCAGCCTGATTTACGCGAAAGCCGAAAGCAGTTAGCAGAGAGCGGAAATGGGCATCAGAGACGAGCATCCACTGTCCTCATCTCACAGAACTCCGAGGACATGAGACGGGTCTTGGAGAGCGTGGGTACCGCGGGCACACAGAAGGTCCAGCCTCTCTGCTGTGGTGGTGGATGCTGTCGCAGCCAGCCGTTGACCAAGCTCGGACCGGTACCTAGTGCTAAAGCTGTCAATCCTCCGGACAATGAAGCCTTCAGAGGACTCAACCTCAATATTGAATATCTTACGTTGGACAGTGAACTTACCAACATTGTTCCCATACCAGAGAAGACAGTGTCCTTCTCAGCGGTACCAGCATCGGCCTTGGATCTGAAGCTGGGTCCCGCGGATCACCCGCCCACTTTCGTTCAGCCACATCCCCCGTACAATGTGTACCGGGCGCCTTTGCATCACGCCCGAGAGCTCACCAAGCCTGGCGCGGAGAAGCGGACTTTCCACTTTGACATTGACGTGACCGAATACCCTGCGGAGAGCGGAGACGTCGATTTTGTTGTGGGTGGGGCGATTGGTGTCTGTCCCAAGAATAAGGAAGAAGAGGTTGATGATATCTTCAACCAGCTTGGTATCCCCAAGTCAATTCGTGACAAGAAGATTACGTTGCATACCACCAAGGGCCGGTGGCCTACGATTTGGGGCGATGACCAGCCTCGGGACCTGATCACCACCCGGAGAGAGCTCCTGAGCTGGTGCTCCGATATTCAGAGCTACCCTCCCACAAAGCCTCTATTCCGACTGCTCGCTGAGTACGCAACCGAACCGAACGAGAAGAAGATACTCATGTTCCTTTCTTCAGCCCAGGGCCAGGGTGCTTTCTGCGATCTCCGCACAGGATCCTACATTACCGTTTCCCAGCTACTCCATGCATTCCCCTCCTCTCAGCCGCCCCTCGACCACCTTCTATCCGTTCTGAACACCCTGATGCCACGTTTCTACTCCCTGTCGCAAGACCCCCAGATTTCATGCCAGAGGCAGGATACCAAGTGCCGTAGACTCATTGAGATTGCAGTGTCTGTGGCGGAAACCGAGGACTGGAGGGGCGGTACTCGGACCGGAGTCGGATCCGGATATCTTGAGCGGCTCGCCAGACAGGCCATCGATGCGGAGCTGAAGGGCATCGATCCCCGGAGTCTGGATCTCCACGTTCCCATGTTCCGTGGCCTGATGGCCAATCCTCTGGCCAAGCGATTTGCCTCCGACGGTCCCATGCTCCTCATCGGCGCTGGTGTCGGCATTGCCCCGTTCCGCGGGTTCGTCCAGCGCCGTCTGCAGTCGGCCAACTGTGCCAACAAGGTTTGGGTCTTGCAGGGAATTCGTGATTCTCTTCTCGATGAGCTCTACAGCGGCGAATGGGGCGTTGAAGAGGATAAGGTGCGGACGGTAGTCCAGAGCCGTCGCGGCGAGAGCAAGTACGTTCAGGAAGAGGTTCGTCACCAGGCCGACCTCGTCTGGTTCGTGATCAATGCCCTTGACGGACGTGTCTTTGTCTGTGGTAGCGGCAAGGGCATGGGCGAAGGCGTCGAGGCGGCCTTGGTGGATGTCGCTATGGCCAAGGGTAACCTGAATCGCGAGGAAGCGGAGCACTTTTGGAAGAACAAGAAGGAAGCCGGTCAATATATTGCCGTAAGTTTCGCCCTTTTGACGGGAAAAGAAGATGGTTCACTAACAAGGCATAGGAAACCTGGTAAATCCTCATCCGTGTACATTGTTCTCCAGCTCGGCTTAGTTTGCATTGCATTTCTCGTGTCAGCGCATCACCAGAGTTGATCTCGGCTGGACCACGGTGATTCGATTGACCGAAGCATTCGCTGCAAGGTTCATTTCCTGTGCTGGTTATTCGGTTGCTGGTTATTCAGTTGGTTAAGTACCATGTTGGACCTTTCTATTGATTTCATCTGCTTTAGCGGGGCGGTACATTGACCTCTTACTTCCGGACGATCATCTTTTCGATTTTATCATGGGTATATACGCATATTTACATCATAGATTTACCTTAGATGGTAGCAATATCAAGGAATTTGCATCTTCAACTGTACATACCCGACATTTTGATGCAGCATAACAAAGC